TTAAATGTCTTCTTCTTCAGCAGTAATTGGTGGATAATCACCAAACTTTTGTCTGCAGCATTCTTAGGTAGTCTTTTATCAAGTGTGCTCATATTGAAGGCTCAGGGTGAGCTATTAGTATCAAAGGGGGATGCTCCGGCGTCCATCGTCCGTCGTCATGTGTCAACAATCCTCTTCTCTGATTTACTTCAAATTTGGTCTTTAGCATCCTTGTGACAGTCACACTTGAATTTGCTCATGTCATTCCAAGTGGCCCCTTGTAGGGGTCAGCAGAGCTAAAAATAGAAAATATTTAAACATCTTCTTCTACAAAACTAATTGATGGATGATCACCAAACTTTGTTTGTAGCATTCTTGGGTACATGTAGTCTTCTCAATATTTAGATTCTACAGAAGTAAATAGATAACTAAAAATTGGGAAAATACGCACTAAAATCATAGTTTACAAATATATAATCGAACTGAAGTCAAACAAACCCCAGACATCAGCAATTAAGGATATTAGTGAACCATATCATAGTTAAGTAGATAAAGACTACTGTATCATGTTACAAAATGTGAATGTTTGTCATTAATTAACTCATCTCCTCTCTCACTAACAGAAGGCACTGGAAGTTTGCCTTTTATAGATTTGCTGCATGACAATGACTCACTTCTTCGGAATTGTCCCAGAGGCAACAAGTGACATCAAATCAGCCTTTTTTGCAGCAGATATTGGAAGCTTCTCTGTATAAGCCTTTCGTGGAGCCTAGCTTAAGAGACTTCTCCTTGCTTCTGCTCTTCTTCTGCATTAACCTCACTTCCTTGAACTCACTAACATCAAAACCATAGTTCACGAAAATACTATATTCTTTGTCTTTACGAACTTGAATCCATTTTATATTCACGTTTTCCATCAACATCGATTTTCATTGAGCCAAAGTTTTGTTCTTTGTACAACTTGTAATCTAGTATGTCAGTGTATTTTATTGGAGCGACAATATATGGTTGCTTCCGGCGTACTAATAATATAACTGTTTTACACTGAGATGGATCATGTGCGGCTTTTTGCATGCTCGATAGATGCATGCTTGGAATAACATTCTATTTCTGAATGGCCACTTTCGAGAAATTTATGGTTTATACGCTTGATGTGAGGAATATCTTGGACACAGTGAACTTAGCAACTTGCAACAAACTGATTGCGATTCTGTCTGTATATAATGTCACTTCTTGAATACCAGATGTCTTACTTGCAACAGAAGTTACATACAAGTACACACAAGTTCCTACTTTGCACGAGCCTCGTTTCCCCTGTGTCTTATCCCACAGATAACAAGCCCCCCGTTACCATTTTCCAGTTCATAGAATGACAAATTGCAGCAACAGTTTTCTTTTGTAATAAAGTTCACCAATTAAACTGCATGGTGTTGTCAATTTAGCCTGGACATCAAATGCAGACAAGTAAACTTTGGATCTTTCTTTACACGTTCTTTATCGGCTGATTTTTCCATTCTAGCATTGTTTTTGTACTTTCTTGGTGTTCCTGATATTTTGCTTTTGTTGCCTCATGTACATGTAGTCTATCTTCTATTCTCAAAGTGTCATACAGATTGCAGAGTGGACATTGCTCTTTCTTAGGATGGAAGAAGACAAGTTATATTCTGTACTGATAATGTTTCTGTGTACAGCCTCTGAAATACACCTTCTATTTTGTCCTTTGCATTTTTCTACATTCAGTGAGTACATTTGTCTTATATTTAAATCTTGCGTGAGATACTTCCTGTTGAAGTTTTTTCGTGTGTAGTGTGATTCAACAGTCGGAAATCTTTCGATGTGTTTCTTTACAAATGATCTGTGATATTCCGTGTTTTTTTTTCCGGGCACAGCTTTCCCTCTCTTGTCATTTCTAACATATAACCCTGCCACTTTGTGCTTAACTACGATTGCAACTGTTTTTGAACCGACATCGAGAGTTTTGAGAAAAAAGTCTTTGCCTCCAAAACGAATTCGAAATAGTGTTTTGTTTTGTTCTTTGTTTAGATACCTTCTCTGGTTCTGGAAACAAATACATTGCCTCTAATTTGTGTAATCACCCATTAACCAGTATGTACTGAATATTTTCTGTCTTTCATCTTCGGTTATATACTCGCTGCATTTAAATCTTCAAGATAAATTTCTTGGGAAAAGAGATAACAAATAGTACCTTGCAGTATTCTGTCAGAGGAAAAAGGTGATAAAATCAGTTATAACCTTTTTCCACTACAGATTCTTCACAACAAGTGGAACAACAAGTAAACAACAGGTAAAAAGTACACTTAGAACCTTTTACCCCTACATAATTTGTTAAAAAGAAGTTACTACAAAATACTTTTTTATGTTTTGCCCTTATAAGGATTTAATATTTAAAATAATATTTCGTCAGAGATAAAGGACAATAAGTACATTATAAAAACATATAAAGTCAATTTCGGCTTAAATGGCAGTTATAACCTTTTACCTTTGAACCCTCGATAAAACAGAGTCTAATGTGCACGGTTTTCTGGACTTAACATTTTGTATACCAGAGCAAAAACAGGTTGATAAATAATTACAGTTGTTTTGTTAAGCGGTCGGTAAGCGATTTAACTGTCCGTTTTTAACAAACAAACAAAAAAAGCCGGTAGATAAGTTGATATATACGAAAGAGAATCAGTGCCAGGTGTGTGTGTTTTTATTTATTTACTCGTTACTTATCTTGAAATTTTGACTTACTCACTCGAAATTTCGAGTAAGTAACTCGAAATTTCGAATATATAAAAAACCACACACCTGGTACTAATGCTTTCCGTAGATATACACATGTACAGTGTAACCTTAATTAACAAACAAATTGATAATAACTTCCAATTTAGAGACTCTCTTTGATAATTATAAGTCTACTATAAATGCAATTGCCATAATCGACACTATGTTCTTCTCCACTGTCCACTGGACGGGCATCAAAACAGTAATACAGTAAGACAAACTTTATATATATTTGGTTATGGTTAACAGTAAAAAAAAACATAAGCTTGAAGCTTGTATCCGACATGTACGGACTAATCTGAGATATTTGCCGGAGCATTCAAATATTCAATTAATTCTCATTTCCAAATACATGTTTTTTATGAAAGATCAACGAGTTGTTAAGGGATAAGCAATTGTCATTATTTTAAACTCTTGAGGTACTTACTTGACAATAATAAATTGAAAACTAAGGCCTTCACAGTTGTAATAAACGATCAAACTATGACAGAAAGGTATATTTGATAAGCCCATTGATAAAGGTCGGATTTTCTATCAATACATTAAATCAAGGTTCGTGTTAGTTATGTACAACTTGGTCTTTTTTCCAATCTCTATTTTTATGACATTTGAATATTAAAATTTATGTAATATAACAGATTACTTTTAAACAATTCTATAGCACATTTCAAAATGAAGACTAATTCCACAACTCATTTTAATGTTCACGAATGTTTCTTTTGTCCTTTTCTGAAAGGAATATAATTTAATTAATAAACACAGTTATGAATAGTTTATGAAGATAAGCATTGATTTAAAGACCAAACTAGTATTATTTGATAGACTTATTGTTCCCATTTTATTGTATGGTTCAGAACTTTGGGGAATAGAAATGAGATTGACAAGTTACATACATTGTATAAGGTTTTGTAAAATTATCCTAGTTGTTAGGATTAAACTACAAATGCTGGTGTACTAAGAGAACTCGGGAGATTCCCGTTATCTATTATAAGTATTGAACGTTCCTTTAAATATTGGATTAAACTTAAGAACAATAATAATAATTCTGTTTTGTGTGACATTTTTCTACAACAATGTACACTTTCACAATTTAGTGTTTAAAATTAGGTGTTTAGAATTACAATCTAGGTCTTTCACAGTTATTTGATATCTTTAATCCTAATTTGAATTATGTTTCTATTATACAAAGACGATTGTGTGACCAGTATATTCAAGAATGAAGTTCAAGTTTGAATACTCCGCGCAAATTAGAATATAATGCAAAATTCAAAAATGTGTTAGAATTTGAACCTTATCTTAATAATATTGTTAATGATTTTTCTAGAATCCAGTAAACTAGATTCCGTTGTTCTTCGCATAATCTTGCAATTGAAACTGGTAGATTTAATAATAAAGAGAGAAATCAAAGATTGTGTTTATTTTGTAATCAGAAACAGATTTAATCTGAATATCATTTTTTCTGATTTGTCCAAAATATAATACTATCAGAAAAGATTTACTTCCAAAATATTATACATCTTGGCCTTCACTTAATAAATTTGTTGTATTAATGAATAATAATAATAAAACTATTCAAGTAAAATTAGCAAATTATATTAAAGAGGCATTTATAATAAGAACACTGGCTATTGAACGAAATGAATTTGTACAGACAGACAATGTTAATTGTAAATTTATAATAATATTTACATTGTATTGTAATGTTTATATGTTATGTGTTTGATTGATCATATGCATTTGAATTATTATTGTACATTGATATGTTATTTTGTCTTGGCTATATTCTATAATTATTACTTGTAAATGGCCAAGCATATTTATGCCGATTGCTAAATAAAGATTGAATTGAATTGAATTGTTTTCTTTTGTCTTCATATCGACTATTTCTTGTTTTGTTAGCTAAAGCTCCAATTTGACTAAAGTTGATGATTAGCTGTTAGAAAAGTCACAAGAAGTTGACCTCCATTTGGTGACCGTCAGATCATGTGTAAACGTTCATAATGAGCTGATTTTAATCAGATTGGTTAAATCTTATTTGTTTGAGAATGAACAAAACATATTATTAAAAATTGTGTTATTTCTTTCTCGATTATAATATCAATCCTAAAGAATCAAAGCGCAACACATAAAGCACCTTTGTTATGTAATTTTAATGTATACGTAAAGAAGAGTTATAGACATACTAACATGAATAATTCATGTTTAAACAAATATATCTGTTTATAAATTTGGAATTTGAAATGGTGTAAATAAGACAATTTAAAATTAAGAACAAACAAATTACCAAAAAGGCATAAATTATAGAATAGGATCGAAGGTTTGCATTAATTGCACCAAAAGGTTGTTCTTTACAGTAACGTTTATCATTTTGATTTTGCATTTTACTGTACCAATCCCAAAACAAACGACGATAAAGCCAACAATATCCAAACACTTTCCAAAGGCTTTGCACTATTCCTGCAACGACGCCTGCGCGCTTTTGTTGCAGACCTACTTCCTGTTATGTCATTATTGGTGCTGTTTCCTCTACTTCCGCTTCCGGTCTCCGTTCCAACAGAATCGCTTTTAGCAGTAACGACAGGATGTGACGTCACTTTAGATGTTCTGGCTGTTTGTTTATTTGAGCCTGACATAACAATTGTAGTTGATGATATATTTGGTGTACCAGCATCTGTTAGATAAAAGACAAAAAATGTTAAAATGTTTCTGATTTAAAAACTTACATTTTATGTATCATATTCTATATTCAAAGGGATGTTATATGATTCAATATAATTATATACTCGAAACAAAATATTATGCTTTAAAAATGTTATATATAGGATAAGAAGAGCATTGTGTTTGCGTGCGTGTATTTGTGTGTGTATTGGTGCGTGCGTGAGTGTGGTTGCGGCGCGCGCGAGCTTGTGCGTGTGTGTGCGCGAGCATTTACGTAGTATGTGTGTGGTTACTTGCGTGTACGTGCACATTAACTTACTTGGGCCATTGACGGTTAAGACGTTTTTTGTGTGTAAAAGTCGATAAATATAAGCATTAGCCAACATTTTAATCCCAACACTATACAACAGAGTAAAGATTAGGGGGAACAAATGCAACATATTATTTGAAAAATCCCAAGATGAAGTGTCAAATAATATACATTTACATGTATTTCTTTTATTTTCGATTTTCCGCGTGTATCTTTATATACATGTTTACTGAGCTATTAAAATGAACGTGGTTCAAACGTTTTATATTGCGTACTTTTAATAAGGCGATGATTCAGGTAGCTCGAATGAGATTCCGTTTATCCTGTTTATTGCAAAAAAAGACACACACGAGAAACGTAGAAAAAACATAAAAAAGTATTACCGCGATCCAAAGTCGACAGAGAACAATTGCAACCATATTGTATAGAAAAATCTGGACAAGACTGATTTCCAAATGGATAACAGATAAGTCCCGTTTTATGATTACATGTTGCATAGTATTCCCTAATCAAATCAACAGTCATCATCGTAAATGGTTCTGTTCTCTCGCCTCTACAACTTGCATTAATCACTGCTGTTTTGTTGGGACACATTGAGTTCAAGACATCCACCGACTGGTGTTCATAATTTGATCTAGAATACATAGAAAAAACAATGCTGATCATAGAGCATGGAGATGGTCATCAAACTGTCTATTTTAATGGAATAGGTAAGTGAACCTTCTTAACATATTTGATATTGTTTCGTGCTGCTCTGGTCTGACATACAGAAATTCTGATTTTTTATTTGTTTCCACCAAATTCTGATTTTTCTGAAATATTTTTCATCAAGTTCTTTAGTTTTTATACTATGTATACTAAAACTTAAAATTGGTTTTTGACACTTATAAGCAATAACAAAGCATAACAGTCTAATTACTGTACGAAACAAACTTGGATAGTTACGTAGCTTGTCATATTCTTTGCAACACCCGTTATCTTATCTTATCTATTATTTTATGTTTTCCAGTGGATTACTGATTTATCCGTGAAAATTATATTTGATAATTTCACAGTGAAAATTATCAAAATATAATTTCACACTTTTCAATGACGAAACTACTCTTTTATTAATAAGTCAATTTTATTTTTGCTGTCAATTCTGACATTGTCAGGGCTGTTTAGAGAAACGCAAAGCTAAACTTGATAAATAACATGAACATCAAAAGTAATAAAAAGAAGAAAATATCAATTAATTCAAATTACCAATCACCAAATATCGTCTCTATATGTAATGTTTCATTTTTACAGTCTGAAAAATACAATTCCTTACGCATGCAAATCTGCTCTTGGTGATATTTTGGTATATTTAAGTATCCTACAAGCAATAACTGCCTAATGCCATATGAAAACTTGAAAAGTAATGACAGCCACTAGACCGAAGTATAAGTAAACAACCAAGCGTTCGTAAGGCAGCCTTTCAACAATTCCATGTTTTCAAATTTCCTAGCCGCTTTTTGAATAACATTTCATCATATACACAAACAAACTACATTGTAATGTCCTCTATATCTTGGGGATTTACTCATATTTTTGATAATTCCTCTCTATTTTCTCAGAGGAACAGGGAAATTTTTACATAGAGAAAGAAGGATAAAGGATCAACAAATTTTGATTAATTATCACTTTTTAATTAATATTCTCTCTCCCCCCCCTGTTTTTCAAATCCTAAAATAGACACTGCCAGTCTGCTTTATCCTAATTGAATTACCCATTCTGATCACGGATCACCAAAAACACGACATTTTATGTTTAATTAACTACAAGTAATTTAACATGACTTCTAGGTATAAAATATGGCATTGTGTGGTGATAGTCAGACTGGATATCTGCTGATTTCTCGGCAAAAATTGTCATTGCTTCAAATTTAATACTAATTTGCTGATGCTCAATAGAGGGAGATTAAATGCTTACCCGTTCTTCAATGTGACTGATTCGTTATACCATGTCGAATCCCAGCATGTCTTTCCTGAATGGTAAAGAAATGTTTAAATAATTATATGGGTTGAAATATTTGAAGCAATTATGAAACCTCTCTTCAGATTTTGTTTTCAGACATTTATAACTTTTGTCATCAAGGTTTGCTTCAATCAATTAAGCTTTCATTACACTGATTTAGAGCGGTCTCCAGCTTAAGATTAGATATGCTATTTAGGAAATAGATATCAGTTTTGAGTAGAATTATGCTATGTTCGATTTCAAATGCGCAGGAATTTTATAACGAAGGCCGACAGGCCTGAGTGATTATTTTCAAAGAATTTGAACGATAAATCGCGCATTATTTTACTATGTACAATGCAAACAATATAAATATTTATTTCCATTCTAACATTCTTATTAAAAATTGAATTGATATAAATACTCTGGACTACTCTGAGCGTAGAAATAATTTTCCTGACGTCATTTGGTTTATTGATCTGACGTCATATGGCGTGTAAGCTTTCGTTTCTTTGTACTGTGCATATATCGTGTAATATTATACCTCATTTGCATACGCCCTTCTTTATTTAATATGACGTCATCCGGTCCATAAACCGCATATAGACCGGGGGCGGTCCATAATTCTTATATGGACCGGATGACGTCATATTAAATATAGAAGGGCGCATGCAAATGAAGTATACTATTTTATCTTGTTGTTAAATGAGTCTTTTTACTAAATTTGTTGTTTTGCTTCAGATAAATTTATTACATGTTGACCAAAAGTTATGATTTGTCTTTAAATTGATTATAAATTTTATCTATACAGTTTGTGAAAATCTGAAAGTTCGGGTTTTTTTGCCTGTTTAATTTGATTAACAAAACTTGAGTAAGAAAAGAAAAGCATGATTTTTTTGCTGTATCGCTTGAAAATAATGATAAAAAATTCGACTAGGGTTTGATATATTTCACACACTGAACAAATAACTTTTTATTTGAAAGCAAATTATAGTAAAAATGACAGCAACAAAATGGATGAAAGAATTTAGATTCGGTATAATATAACAAATAAAACATGGCCTTTCGGGCAAAATGCAAGTTTACGGACTGGTTGGTCAGACCTCAGACGGTATATGACCCTCAGCTGCGTTTCGGGCCATATACCTTCCTCAGTCTGACCAACCAGTCCGTAAACTTGCATATTGCCCTCAAGGCCATGTTTTATTTGTTAAATAATGCACTGGATGAAACGTGATACAGTAACGCGCTTTCCGGTTACAGTATAGAATTTTCAAGATGGTGAATTATTTGTGGGGAAGAGAGGTAGGTGATTTTTATTCCGGTCCAGTTTAGTTTCTAAAAAAATGTTTTTGTGATTTGCTTTTAAGAACTGGATCCGGTATCTAGTCATACATGTCTTCAGACCCTGCACCGCAGATTTATCTCTATATTGTCTCATAAATGTGCAGATTTGACAGATTAAAAATTCGAATCGAAATTCGTCGTATTATCGCCTTCCTGTCGTATTTTCGCTTTTTGTCTCGAAAATCCGAAATTTAAGCGAAAACACGAATAGACGACAATTTGTCGTCCCTTCGTGTTTTCGCGTTTTTTTTTTGCATTTAGAGGCGAAGAAGCGAAGATACGACATGGCGTAAATCAGCCACCATACCAAATCGTGATATATAAGAGGTTTTGTTTTCACTAAATAGCAAGAAGTGCCGTACGAAAGTAATCGACCTCAGTATAAAAAGTAAGTAAGCGTACGAGGGCGAATATTTTTTTAACGCATATTTCTTACAGATGATAATTACATCCTTTTAAAGATAAAACTCGCATTTTATTAATTTTTTGACGAATTAAAAGCAGGCAATCATTTAAGAGGTCGAATTTTAGTTGGTTGAATGCATGTATTAAAATAAAATGAGCAAATGAATGAATGAATAAATGAATAAATCAAATAAAAAAGCTTATTTTTGCAAGACTTTTTTAATCTTAACCCTTTACCTCAAATACGCGAAACAACGCACTTTCAACCCCCTCTTTTAGGCCTCAAATAGTGAAAAAATGTCCTATTTAAGCCCCAAACACATGTTTTCGTTTGAGAAATATGGATAAAAAAGTGAGCACTTTTTCGGCGCCGGCCCCCGTCCAAAAGATACATCAGGGGGTTGCCAGAGAGGAGATGTGCCCCCTTCTGTTTGGGTGTTTTGAGGGGGGAGGGCGGTAGTCCCCCTCATCGCCAAGAAAATTTTGGAAATATGAGAGGCTAAAAATGACCCCAGGTCGATCATAAGGTAACGTGTAACCAACGTGTAACCAACGATGAAAAGCGTTTGACTCTATCCAAATCTCTTGAGAAGTTGCAGCACTTTGAAATAAATTTTGATGGTAAAAAATCAAGGCAAAATGTTGATTTTGGGCAAAAATCCCAGATTTGGAAACATAAACACTTAAAACATTATAATATGCAAATAAATCTTAATTTAAGATTTATAAAACAACAACAACAACAACATAAAAAACAACAAAAAATCATAATCACACAAAACAAAAAGGAGTACAAAAAAACAAAATACAAAAAAAAAATAAATAAATACAAAAATACAAAAAAGTAAATAAATTGCCCTAAGTACGGCTTGAACCAAAGCCCCAGGTCAACTCAGTTTCCTCACTGAAATAAAAGAGGGTTTGCATTAAGCATCTAATCTCGTTAGAACAAATAAAGTCTTACCACTAACGTAATAAGAACACAGAAGTAAAGGGAAAAAACTGAAATATAACTCCATTTCATTCTCTGTAGAAGTAAACTGTTATCTGTACTTATATTTTATGAGCTTTTATAGCATTGGTGATTGGCATTTATTGAGGCCCGTACTTAAAATATTTTTGTTAAAGGTCACATTTGTATTTCATCAAAAATAGCAAACAAACAAAGAACATATGCATATAGAAAAACGATTAACAACACTTGCTACTATGTATAATAACAACATTGCTTATTATTTCAACTTATAATGGCTGTCAAAGTCCACTATAATCCAGGATCAACAAAGTTGTGTTTGTACAAATTACGCTTACATTTGAACAATATCGAATTAAATCAAGTGATTTTAAGCTGGCTGTTTTGGTGAAAGCACCTCGAGAGGCAGACTTAAGACCTGGGTAATATTTGCAAAATGACCAAAAGAGTCTCTATGGAAAAGACAAATTCATGTATTAGAAATACACTTATTGGAAAAATATTTTTAATCAATTGCCTATATCCTTTTACGCACATGGTGGCTTTACATTCATTATGTTCGAAACTATGCCGATCCATTAGTTTCATCTTTCAATTTGGATTTGTTCGATTGAAGTTCGGGTGGGAAATAAATGGCCCAGGATTTGGACACCTGACTTGGCTCCAAGGCAAGTCTTAGACTCATGATAAGGGCATCTGGCCTTTAGAACAGCATTATCATAGTTACGGTTTAAGAATGGAACATCTGATTTATATTATATAATGCTCTTATTGATAACGCTGAATCAAGACATCTGACCTATAGAAAAGCAGGATCATATATTTGAAGCAGGATTACTTATAGCTATACATTACAAATTTTGGTCATGATTGTCAAATATTTGTTTCAATCATGGCCCATGGTCATTAATGGTCCTATCATGGTTGTGAAAAGATTTATTTTGTAAACATTGCATATGATTTAAAATGTTCTGATGACATCACAGTCTAAATTATACCATTTGAAATTGAATAGAATGATGTTACTAACTTAGATTAATATTTATTGAAGACAATAGAACGATTTATGTAAATTCGATGGTATTCAAAAGGAGTTAACACGGTCTTAATAAGATCGGTTGATAATTAAAGATGATATCAAATTCCTAATAAGATTGGTTGGTCTTCAAGGAAAGACCCACAGTCTTTATAATTGAAAGACGATAGCTATTGTCTTAATTAGATAAGCTGATACTCGAAGAAAATATCACAGTCTTAATTACATCGATTTAAATTGAACGACGATATCATTACATTGGTTTATATTTGAAATTGATACCACAGTATTGATAAGATTTGTGGATATTTAAAGATAATATCACAGATTTTATTATATCGGTTAATATTTCAGGTTGAGAGCACAGTCTGAATAAGATTAGTTAAAATTATCAATTAAATGGTCTGATACTTGAAGATTATATCGCAGTTTGAATAAAATTGTTAAAGAAAATATCTCAGTCTTGGATTAATTGGATTAATCACAGTCAGTTAATATTTCAGGGTGAAATTACAGTCTTTATAAGATTAGTTTAAATTTTAAGAAATTATGACTGTCTTAATTAGATCATTAATTTTTTTTTGATATTTATAGATGACATCACAGAGTTTAAGACATCGGAGCTAACTATAACACACAAAGAAACCGTTTATTCTAAGCTACCACTTTTATTTGCCGGTGGCAACAATCAGAAATATTTTTATGATCTTTTTTGTAAAATAATTTTATTTTGTTTGTTGTCTTCTTCTGCTGGTAAACAGATGGTATTGGAGAAATAAATTTCAAATGGTAAACTTTAAATACTTCTTGCTGATTATCTCTCTTACATGTATATATGTATAGATGAAAATAAGTAAAATCATTTACTGCATTGCTTCGCCTGTAATCTGGACCTTTCCGGTTTTTCGTAGCGGGACATTTAGCCACACCTTTTCCATTCTTTGCTCAAACAGTTTCACAAAAATAAGCACGTGTTCTTTTGTGCGAACCAGGTCAACCAGTGACTGTATTATATCAGTGTAGCCATTGGATAACAAGTAAGCACATTTACATTAAACTGTAAACAACTGAAATGTCCGTTGAAGCCTGACGCCTTTGTAAGAAATGAATGAATGTAGAATTTTCTGTGATCAACTTAAATCTCATTGTCTTTTCATAAAATACGTTGGCATTTTGCAGAAGAAATATGTGCTATCTGCTGTAAATTATTATCAACCACATCTAAATTAGCGGGCTATTGTAATCCCAAGCTTGGCCATTTGCAATACGTAAACACATATAATACGTTTTTCAACAGTTTTATTTTCTAGAAGTCATACATTATCGTTATTATTTCCCACACAACTATCAAACAAAGACATAGGCAATATATTTTTTTCTAGATTTTTAATGAAGAAGCATACAATATACATTTGATATAAAGTTTTCACACAATATTGGTACATCATGAACGACGAAAGTGTATATTTTTCAATACATTTGATATAGAACCATACAAAAGTGTTTTAAAGTTTTCATATAATAACAAAAGACGATGAAAGAATATATTGTTCTATGCATATAATGTAGAACCATAAATATACAATTGTTTTACAACCCTCACACAACAATCATTCACTAAAAAGTGTATATTTGTCTATATAGTATGCGATTGATGTAGAACAATACAATATATAATTATTTTACAATTTTCACATAACATTCATTCACTAAAAATTGTATATGTGTCTATATAGATGTAGAACCATATGATATAAAATTGCTTTTTTTTTTGAAATTCTAACACAACAATATTTTACTATGAAAGTATATATTTGTTTAATATGTAGAGACATACAATATGCATTTGTTTTAGAATTCTCATAAACAATCATTTACAATGAAAGTTTATTTTTTCTATGCATATAATGCAGAAGCATATAATATACAAATGTTTGACATGTTAACATAACAATCATTCACTAAAAATGTATATTTGTCTATTTAATGTAGAACCATACAATATAAAACTGTTTTTTAATTCTAACACAATAATTTTTTAGTATGAAAGTTAATATTTATTTAACATGTAGAGACATACAATATGCATTTGTTTTACAATTCTTATAAACAATCATTTACTATGAAAGTTTATTTTTTCAATGCATATAGTGCAGAAGCATATAATATACAATTGTTTGACATTTTCAAACAACAATCGCGCGTTCACTAAAAAGTGTATATTTGTCTGTAAAGATACGTTTAATGTAGAAACATACAATATAAAATTGTCTTTAATTCTAACCCAACAATATTTTACTATGAAAGTACATGTATGTATTTGTTTAATATGTAGAGATATACAATATGCATTTGTTTTACATTTTTTTACACAACACTCTTTTACTATGAACGTTTATATTTTTCGATGCGTTTAATGTAGAACCACACAAAATGCTATTATTTTACATTTTTCACACGAAAAATGTCTAATATTAAGCTCTAACAGGTGATATTTTTTATATTTAATTGAATATTTAATTAAAATTATATTTAATCATCAACAAAAATACAGGAAGGAAAGGTGACTCATCTATTCAAATTATGACACTTTTTGTGTATCCATCTCATCAAAAGTTTTGATGAAAGAAAAGGAATACTGAAACTTTCAAATTAACAAAATAATATTATGTCCTCAATTTGTATGTTTGCCTCTGTGTCGATGTACATTTATATTAGATAAATATATTGAATGACCTAGAATGGCTTGTTGTTCTTTATTGTGCCACATCTGCTGGAAATTAAAATAGATATAGTTGCAAGTGATATCCTGCCATAAGCCCGTTATGTCTCATATGGAAAGATTATAAGAAGCCCCAAAGATCACCTAAAAATAATAGATTACAAAGACGCCAACAGTATACTTCAGCAAAGTGCAAAAGCTTTTTTATCTTATTTACTGAAAGATGAAAAAAAAGCTTCCAGGCTCAAAAAAGATACCCTCATTTCCCTTCCGCAAAGACTGAAATAAGTTCCACAGCCCTCTTATGTAAATATCGCAAATTTCACCTAGAGAAAGAATACACAAACCCTTCAGCTCACGTACAGAAATATTGAGAGAAAAAACATTCAGATCACTAAAACAACTAGAAAAAGCTTCATACTCACTTAAAATTCTCTCTTCACACGTGCAGAAACGTGACAAAAAGTATTTTATCTCAATTTAAGACTGGTGACAAAACAGGGGCGTAGCTGCGAGTAAGCGCCTTGATCTACAGGATTTTGCCAAATAATGCCTCCAATCTCACTTACAGAATGTCAAATAATCTTTTATCACAATTAAAGTCCGTGGCCGAGTGGTTAAGGTCGTTGACTTCAAACCACTTGCCCCTCACCGCTGTGGGTTCGAACCCCGACAGGGACTTTGGATTCTTTCATGTGAGGATGCTACCCAGCTAGCTTACGGAACGTCGGTGGTTCTACTCAGGTGCCCGTTCGTGCCTGAAATAATTCACGGAAGGGCACCTGAGGTCTTCCTCCACCAGTAAAGCGGGAACGTCGCCAAATGACCTTTACTGTGTTGGTGTGACGTAAAACCCAATCAAACAAACAAAGACAGACAACAAAAATACTCCCAGCTCACTTTAATGAAATTTATTAGATTACAAAAAGCTTTCAAGGTAACATCTACAAAGGTGACAAAAAAAATCGTAAGCTAACAGGACAAAAATCCTCTTGGAAAAATCAGAGAAAGGTGGCAAAAAGTCCTTATGTTCACTCAAATAAAAATAACTAAACACCTTTCAGAGCACTAATATAAACATCACAAAACTAACCTGTGGCTAATTTAAAGAAATATTAAAGAGAACCTATGAAGTATGACAAAGCAGCATATAATTCACTGATATGAAGGTGACAAAGAGAAATACAGGTTATTTATAAAACGTGACATAAACACACAAGCTCACTTAATGAAAGATAAAATGCCTTTATAAATAAAAGGCAAAATATCCCTTAACAAATTTAAATAAGACGT